TAACAGCGGTTTTTTCACCGCCTGTTGTCTCAAACAGTGGGATAAATCGCATAAGAAATAAGTTAGTTGAAATGAACAAAACTGAGTTTAAAAAGTGCCAAATGAATCAAAAATGTAATTTTAATGAGAAACATTCCACTTTAAGTACCATACTATTTATACCAAGTGCCAACATGACTTACGTCAATCTCAGTGAAAGCGTTTCAAAATCGCTAAGAACCTAAGTAGCCCAATAAGCACTAACCATATTATTCAAACGAAGAAGAAATGTTATAAGAGACCAACAGACTGTCATTATACATTTCGAAAAAATTTTCTAAAGCCATTTCCCTAAATTTACACCGAAATAAGTACGCAAACTCCGATAATAATTATACCACCTTTTTCAGCTATCAAAAAAAAAAATCGAGTGTTTCCACAAAAATGAAAAAAAGAAGCACATCCAACAGGAAATCAACTACTCTAGAATTTTAACAAATGCGTCAAATCTTCAACTTCCGTCTAATTCCTCTTAGACGTCATAAAACAATAATACGACGAGAGGACACCTAATAACTGAATTGTGACATGAGAAATATGCTAAAGAAGCTGCAATATAAAAGAAATTTGTAGCTGCCATGATTAATTAAAACTTGATTTCTTTTAACTAAACGCAAACAAAATTAACACTTTTCCAAAGATTCCGGCAATCCTGCCTACTTCTGCATTAAAAAGAAATAACGAATGAAGGCCAGAACCGAATGAATCCTAAGAAGAGGCGCATTTACACGTAAACTTAAAGAAGATCCTAATAAAATCTTTCCAAAAATTTTCTTATCATTTCAGTTTCAGCGAACTCTCAATGCGGTTTGATTTAACCATTAGAACTGGTTGTCTTTTGAAAAAATGTTTATTATATTACCCATGTCAGTATATAACATCTTTTGAACTTCTACGTTTTGATTGAAAAGTCTAACTTCCTTTACCAAAAAATTATTACCTGCTAGATCCGGTTGAACTTTTCTAGTTTAACATCATCCTACGTCTCATGCTTGCTATTAAAAGCCAACTCTATAATACTTCGCAAAATGAATAAGGTTTTAATTACCTACAAATTGTAAGTTTTAAGAAATAAAAGATTTTGAAACATCCAAGCTCACTGCCTTTTCAATTTCCACCAGTTTTCTCCTCAGAGTCCTGATTCTAACTTTTCCGGATCGCTTTTCCTGACAAAAGATACGGAGAGGGGCAGACAAACTTTTCCTTGCGGGAGGCATCAAATCTAACAATCACCAATGACATTCAAGCTATAAACGTTTATGCGAAAATCAAGCTCTACTAAAAAATAGCAACCTACACGTGCAAATCGGTGAATACAATATCAAAAATAAGAAAGCTTTCCCCGATAAGGAAACACGATGACTACTGTCGTCTTTACTGGTTCACTAAACAACACTAATGGCAGCAATGATGATGAAGATCTATGTTGAAACAAATTTGTCAATGACATTGCGAATGACAAATTTTTTTTCTTGCTGTTGCGTAACAATGACTTAATTCTAAATTATATCCTCCGCTCTCAATAAACCTGTAAATCTGTGTGTATTAAGACCAATACTGCTTATTTAAAGAAAGAGACAACTGTTCATACCTGAGTAAACACTGTTCTCAAACTATCTCTTCCTCCATCCGAAGATTAAAAAATCTACCAGTATCTTCTAGCTAATTTGACGTAAGACGACAACAGCATGCTGAAGTCAAAAGACAGGATGAAATC